ACCCACCACGCCGGTCCCTCCGCACACTCGCTGCCCACGGGCCCACCCTGGCTCCGGGCTGGATTCCGGCCGGCCTCCCGGCTGCAGAGGGACTGGGATGGGCCCACTCAGGGGCAGAAGCTGCCACCAACCAGCCCCTCCTGGGGACAGAGTGTCCACCTGTTGAGGCCAAGGCAGGGGGAGTGAAGGCGGCACTTCCCCGCCTGCAGTCATCTCGAGCTGGAGGGCCAGGCCGATGGGCAGGGGCAGGAGGCGCCTCCTGGGCAGGGCTGCCCGCGCAGTCCCCGCTCCCCAAGGCTGAACTCTGCACTCCTGATGAGGAAGTTGAGGCTGAGCGGCTGTAGCCACGGCCACCCAGCCGCACTGCCCATGTGACCAGGGCCCAGGCCACCTCGCCCATTTCCTGCCAGGCCTGGTCCTGAGGAGCAGAAGGAGGGGCAGAGGGGGCCCAGGGCCTACTCTCAGGTGCTCCCACCTGGGGGGACACCCACCAGCCCGGGGGCAGCTAGAGGGCACGGGCTCTGGGCAGAGCCACACTGCGTGCCAGGCTGCCCTCCTGGCTCAGAGCTACCTGCTCAGCTGCATCTCAGAGGAGGCAACCACGGCACAAGCCCCACGCGGCCCTGCTCACTGCTCACAGCGGCCGCGCCCGCAGGGGCCTCTGGGGCTCACCCTGGAACGGGCTCTGGCAGCGAAGCAGAGCGCAGGCCTCAGTTTCCCCAGCAGGAGGACAGGCCGTCCCGGGAGCGGCAGGAACAGCACCAGGCTGGCGGACAGAGCGAGGGAGAACAACGCCGCACAGACATGGGGGCTCCTACAAAGCTGTGGCCAAACCCCACTGGGCAGCTGAGAAAATCGAGGCCAGAGAACAGCATGCTGTCGCCCGCCGCTGGGCTGGGCGGGGCTGCGCTGGAGCCATGGGGCCTGTCTCCTGCACCCGGCATCGCCCCCCCGCCCCCGCCCCTGAGTCCCCAGTATCGGCCGAGGGAGGCATCAGGGCACTGCCTCCTGCCTGCGAGCCCACACCCTTACCCTCAGGGTCCCAGCCGGCCTCCCTCCAGCTCGGGCTCCCCGTCTGCTGGGGAGGCAGCCACCTCTGACTCACACCCTCGTGCCGCTGTTCCGCCCAGACTTGGTGACACACCAGCCAGGGTGCTGGGAGGACTCTTCCATGAGAGGCAGCCAAGCAGGAAGAGCACACAAAAAGCGTTGGATCCGAAGCAGCTTGTGCAAAGGGCCTGGGGTCAGGGTGAGAGGAGGCACAGGCTACAGACACGGGGGACAGAGGCAGGCCCGTTCCAGGCCGCTGCGTGTGGATGGGTCCCGCACCTGCCCTGGCTGAGCACTGTTCGGGATTGGCCAGTCCCGGCCTCTCCTCTTCGCACGGATTCCTGGTGCAAGTCACGGCACCATGAGCCTCCCCTCCTCGCCCTCTTATACAGGCTTGTTGGTCACAGCACCCTGGGGACAGGAGGCAGCCTGCTGGCACTCCCCATGGGCATTTGGCCTAGTGCTGGGTCCCAGGGTCTCTGGGGGTGAAGGGCACCCTGCTTGGCCCAGATCCCAGCAGCAGGGGGAGGTGACAGGGAACACAGCTCATGCTGAGGTGGGGCAGTGGGTAGAGGAGGCAGCCAGAGCGATCCAGCCCCACGGCGCCTCACAGGAGCCCAGGCTGGAGGCCACGGTCAGCCACGCCACACGCTGCGTGGACACCTGCTGTCCGCGGTGCCAGTCCAGGGCATCCCGGGGCAGGCCAGCTGGGTCACCGGCCTTGACCCCTGTAGAGGCCAGTGGCCTTGCTGCCCCACCACCTTTCCATGACTCATCGCTCTCGCCTCCTTCAGGCCTTGGTGGCCTCCCTCAAACCACACCTCGGCCGCCCTCAGCCCGAGCAGCTCTGGGCACTTTACCCACCAGGTCAGGCTCCGGGTCAGGACAGGGCACCAGGACTGGTGTGGTGAGGTCTGGCCCCCCTGGCTCCTGCTGCTGGGGCTCCCAGGACCGAGCCCACCATCTGGGCAGAGGTTCTGGCTGATGCCCGCCCTGCCGGGGCCGGAACGGTCAGGGTCAGGCTGGGTCGGCTACATACGGGGCACCTCCTCCTCCCACTGACTTCAGACTTTCAGGATTCGGTCTTCAGT